AGGAAGGAAGGAAGGAAGGAAGAGGAGAGCCTCTAGCCCCGAAAGATATCCCACCGAACTCAGCATTCAGTATTGGGCCTTGAGGCCAAAGGCTGCTCGGTGCCCCAGGCCCCGACATGACGTCCAGGTGTGGACATCCTCGCAGACATCCTGCAGCATTCCACGCTGGACCAGCCGAGTGCTCGGCAACCGTCCAAGCTTCCTCGTAGTCCCAGTGTGTCAGAGTTGTCATCAGGGAACATTTGGACTTCGAACGGGGCGTCATCCTTCGAGAGATGGAAGAAGTGGAGAAAACAACCGAGGAGGCCGAGCCGTTTCGTCAGTCGTCATGGAGCCGTGTTTGAGCGGAAGGTCATTTTTGACCGTCTGCATCTCGCAGCCTTCCACGACAGCCCGCCTGAGTCCTTGAAAGTGCAGGTTTGCTTCATGTGCGTTCTGGCTTGTTCTTTCGGAGGCTGGGCTACACAATCCTGGGACCTGTTGAGAACATCCAGCCCAGCCGCAAGAAGGAAGCCGTGCTTGGCACAGCCCAACGTCTCGTCCCGCTGAAGGTCGATAACCCGAGAGCAGCTGCAAACATACGTTGAGTCGAACTACCTTGCAGATCGAATCGTCTGAGTCTCAGTTTTTGGCCAGAGCCTGCAGAGTCGCAAGAACAGAGATTCAGGGAGCCTGCAGGCGCGGCCGTCATGTCGGGATGGAGCCTCCTGTTCGAAAAAGGGTTGTTCACAGGAGCCCTCCTGGTCTCGCGGGTCATGAGAATCTGAACATTCACGAGCTGATGCTGATTTCTAAGAGCGCATCAAGTGAACGGACAGGCAAAATCCCGAAGGACTGATATCGGGAAGCCAGAGTGATGTAAGCCAAAGCTAGATCGTGTTACGGCTGCAGGAAGAGAAGGAACATCGGCCACTGAACATAAAGAGTCGGTGGCAGACCCGCGATGATGACCGAGAAAGTTTACACCAGACGGCAAGCCCTCACGAGAGGTCAAAACGCCCGAGTAGGAGCCCGAAGCCTGGAGGGAAGTAAGCTGCGCAAGACCTGAGACACAAGCCCCCCAGACCCCCAAAGCTCAAAGATTGCAAGCCTTTCCAGACGGAAGACCCTGCACCCCGAAACAGAAGATTGCACCCTGAGATGGCGAAACCCTTAGACTCCTGGGGCTGTGCGCGCAACATGTGGGAACACAGTCAAGACTAGAAACATGACTTGTTCAAGCGTCTTTCACCACTTGTCTCGTGCATCGCGATTCGGACGAGAGACTTATGGAGCGGAAGGTCGTTGCAGCTGCTGGACCTGTGGACCATGGCGAGCTTGTGCGCCACTCCGAAGAACTCTTCTGTCTTGACCTCTGCCCGCTGGACTCTGCAGAGTTTTTGTGATGCACTTCAACATCCAAGACTGGTCAAGGCCATTTCCGACCAAGCAACGGCCAGCAGCGGAGAGAGGTGCCAGATGTTTTTAAGACCTGAGGTTTCGAAGGAAGAAATATACTCTCGTTCCTGCTCCTAGCAATACTCACGTCCAGGAAGCGTTCAGCCCCGGAGGAACAGATTTTCAGATTTTCAGAGAGTGGAAAGTGAACACATGCAGACTTTCGCACGGCAGACTGAAACCGACAGGGAAAGGCAGCCTTCTGTGGCGCAGAGCTGCTCTACGGGTCAGCAGAGGTGCGAGATCAAGCTTCGTCTGACAAAATCGGCTGTTGAGCTTGCAAGGAGAGCTTGGCTCACTTTGCCATTGGATATGAAGGAGGCTGCTGACCGAGCTGTGTTGCCGCCGTTGCAGTTTGGTTTTGAGATGGGCAGCACCTGAGTTCCTTGGACTCACCCGGACTCGCTGACATTCATGGTGGCTAAGCAGCAAGGAGACAATACACAGGCAGGTTTCAATGCAGTCGCAAAGCTGCCTTGTAAAGGTCCTACAGACCATCATCGGGAATTACAAGCGGAATGAAGGCAGCACTGGTGAGCGACCCTCCCGGAAGCTGGTGAAAGTCTGTGCGTCACAGGGCTGGTGCCCGCAAGACTTTCCAGCAATCGGTTGCGACCTTTGGGGGCTTTGCTTTGGGAGCGACCAAGACGAAGAGCTGTGTCGTGGCGAGGCTCACGAACAGCGTGGCCAACCACCTCGGTCCAGGCACCAAGCCATCTCTTGCTCGACAGCAGGGGAACGTGCAAGGTTGCTTGCTGCACCAGGTGACACCAAAGCCTCATTGGTGTGAGCAAGGTGCAAGATAAGACTCGTGCAGGTGCAGAATCATTTGCTGCTTTCAACACTTGCTACAAGGCGGGAGCCTGAGAGTAGAATCCCAGCGCTGGACACCTTGCGTCTGATGGTATCGACACGCTGCTCAAGGCTACATTTTCAACCCTACAAAATTGCGCCTACAAAGCTGCGACAGCAGCAAAGATCTGAGAACCCAGCTCAGCATGCTGCTGTCTTGCTGAGGATACCGGAATCTTCGGTGTTTATGGTGAGAGCGATGAAGCAACGCTGGATGGATACTTGGATGAGCTGCTCTTTGCGGCCTGCGCCTTAGAATCGAGAAATTCTTCATGGAGGGCGCAAGCCAAGCCCAAGATCAGCAACCTCGCATTCTCGGTCACAGAGGAGGAGGCACTCAGCTGAGCCTCTGCGTGAGACAAAGGCTACGGAGACCTGTTCACAAGCCAAAGGTTGAGCGGGGGAAGAGGCAGCTGAAGACCACCCTTTTTGGCAGTCTAGATTCCACGACCGCTATCGCAGAGGCTCTGGGCACTTCATGGCATTCCCCATCAATCGTTCTACGTTTTTACGCTTTGTGCAGGATATAGGCCGCCAGCTTCTGGTGTATGGTCGACGTGCCGCCGTCGTGTTTATGTTTATTTTATACAGCGCACAAGCACGCAAATAGTTTAGTCGTCTACTTTCCGTCTGACATGTCGAGATACCATTCGGCGACTAAGTTCGTGCATGAGAGGCGCTATTCTGTGACTGTACTCACCTTTGCTTCTTCCCACCAATTGCAAACTGGGATTGTATCTTTGCCGCTTGTTCTCCACGGAGACCAGTGATGCAGTGCTCTGTCCTTCCGGTTGGCCCTGAAGCGTCACATTACCTGTTGAATGAGCTGTCAAGGTGCGGCAGACTTTCATTTCAGGGCTGTGCATTGGTCAATACTAGCCGCACGGTTTGATTTACCTTTTCCTGGCAGGTGTTCCGCTAACAGAGCTCCTGTTGCGCCTAGAGGCCATCAACACTCAAGAGGCCCGATTCACGTCTGTCTCGCTGGTTTGGAAATGCCTTCTTAGCCGGAAATGCGACACCAGACATCAGGTGCAGCGTGTTGCCCGAGAGACGCGACCTCGGTGTAAGTTTCAGTTTCTGGTTGGATGTCGATGTCTGCAGATACAGGCCACGAGAATGACAACTGAACCCTGAGACTGTGCTAGGGCCGCTAGGATCTGGCTGCAAGTTCGTCAAGGCTCATTGACTCAAATCGGTGTGCAAAGGAGACTGTTCGACAAGGACGTTGCGGTTGGAAGCTGACTGTCATGCATTCTTAGGGAAGCGACGTCCATGTCGTGCTGCTTCTGATAAGTCACATGATCGACTGCGCTCGGTGCGAGCTGAGAGCTGAGGTCACAGCTCTCGGTCCTCTGAGCCGGATGCCGCCCTTATCCGAGCTGAGGCGGCGGACTGCTGCGAGGAGGCTGGAAGTTTGCACGTGCGGCACGCTTTGGAGCTCGCCTCGCCTGTCCAGGCTCTGACCACTCTGAATGCCGTGTCCTCCTGAACTCCGTGTGCCAAAACGACAGCACGAGTTCAGTTCCGCAGGATTTTTCGCGGGGTTCGCGGATGGAGTTGGACGCCAGTCCAAGTTGCAGACCTCGACGCCCGGAAATGAAGCCTGCAGACCTGCCGGACTTGTGTTTGCTCTTCCTACATGCAAAAGCTGTGGGCTTCCATGTTCGGATCAAGTGGCGCAGCTGAAACCCATCAGATCCATGGTCCAAACCTCACAGACCGACCCGCACCCGTTGTGTGCAGACTTCAGAAGAATCGGAGACTCGTCGGAGACTTTGCATGTCGGAGACTGACATGTTTGCCATGCCCAGTGAGCAGAGCGTCCTTGCGGGCTCGGGCCGGGCCGACGCAGACGTCGCCTCAAAGGAGGCGATGGGAAAATCTCGCGCCGATGCATCGCGATCTGCCCGCTGCGATGTGCCCTGCGGAGGTAGCGCCGTGGCGACGCAAGGAGGGCGAAGTGTTGTTTGCGGGATGCTCAGGAGAGAGATGCTGAGTGGCTTGGAGCACTTTGTGAGTGGTTTGCAGGAGATGCTCGACAGGGACAAAGATGGCTACCTTACTCGGAAGGAGGTGGTCGTGTGCCGTTCACAAACTTGCGGTTGCACCAGTTCGTCGATCAGGCACGAAACTGGCTTCGCAGCTGGAGCCCTGTTGTGGAAGCACTGCTCAGGTTTTGAAAGCAGATTGGCTGAAGCTTTAAGCCACATGTCCTGGGTGATCTTCTGCTGGTTGGGCTCAGAAAGTGACTCTTTTCGCATACATGAATACATGATGCAAGCTTGCAAGAAGCCGGCCTGACCCTAGATTGCACAGACGACCACGGCCTCGTTAGCTTGTGTAAATACTGAATTCGAGGTGCAGAGATTGGTGTCCTGTGTGTGTCTAGCCTTCGCTGCGCTGAGCCATCGAGTGGTGTCATTGACATGCCACGAACGCTCGACCGCAACAGGAGATTCTGCTTGCTTTGGATATTGGTTGCGTCTGCTGCATCTGCTCTGCAGATCGCATGGAGGCATCGTTGGATTGACTAGCGCAGAATGTCCGAACGATGCTCATCGTGCTACAGGCTTTACAAGTTAACCCTTGTCGCCGGGACGGTGGCAGGAGACGTAGTCTGATCATTCCATTCGTTTCGAATTCGCGTCAAGCTGTTTGATGGCTCAGCTTGTGGTTGCATCTTGGCAACAGATATTCCGCAATCAGAATGATGATCGAGCTCAATTTCGAAAATCGGATCCTTCTGAGGCCCTTGATTGCTTTCTCTTCGTAGTGGCTGTGGCCCGACGAAGTCCTGTGAGAACTGTGGCGCTGTGCTCCGGTGAGTATGCCCCAAGCTGTGCAAGCGGACCAAACTGCAACTTTCCAATTGTGCCTCGGGACTTGCACCACCGACCCAAGCACTGTAGAATCTGTAGAAGATCAGAAGATTGACAGCACAGTCGACTCATGAGGGGAGAACAGGAAGGCTGGCATCGCTGCTGAACATCCCGTTTCTGTGCGCGGACTTATGGGAGCGGGGGTGGGCGGGGGAAGCGAGAACCTTAAGCATGTTGTGCGAAAATGCAGAACGCTGTGAATATCAGTGTTTTGGGCATGGCCGCTATCCGGCATCGCTACCCCCCGACAGAAGGAAAGACAGAAAGCAAAAAATGCCTTGCACGAAGTGCTAACAATAACAAC